TCGGTGTTGTTTACGAAATTGAGAGGACGAAAAGCGAATGTCCGGCGCTTTAACCGGATTCCAAACCAATGGTGCACATGGGTTCCAGTATCCTGAGGGAACAAATGGAGTATGAACCAATTGTTGGTCACCGGCTACTATGGGACTGCATCTCCTTACGATGCTCCACTGTCGTGTGGGTCAGACCTTTAGGTCAAAGGCTCGGGGTGTGGTCCGCTAACAAAGCCACCTGCTTCGGTTTGGGCACCCGGGCAGTATCACAGCCCTCACACATATCAAATGAGATCTGTGTGGCGCATAACTCCTTGTACCAATATTTATGTGTTTAAATAATAAAAAAAATAATAATACTTGAACTAAGAATATGTCCTGAATTCTACTTTTAGCCACTATCTTATTTTGATTAAAAAGGAAGTTATTTTTTGTCTCTAGAAAATAAATTTTTGCCACATTTTAACATAAGCTCAATTCAGTAGATATTGAATACTTTCTCAAACTAGTTGAGCGACTCTGTAAGAAAATTACAAATTATAAATCTTTCAGAGAGTAATTATACTGTCACTCAATCGATGTTAGAATGTAATGAACGAAGAAGTCAAGTGGGGAAGACCAATTTATTACACAATAATACAAAATTACAGAATATCTTTGTAAAATACGAAAATCCTACATTAAATACTTCATTTGTACATTTTCCATCAATTGTCTCTTACAAACTTCATTGTATTTTTTTTTCATTCCCGTAGTTATTACAATTACTCTTACCCTATATTTCTATTCTCTTCAATTCCAATCTTTTCAACTGTTTACTGCCATGTATTCCACATCTGATTTGTATTACATACTACTTATATCGACAGACACTACAGGAATAGTAAAGGTTAATTTTTGAATGAATATTCATCTAAGAGAATTTGTTAAAATTTTCTTTAATTTTTATCAAATTCAATGATAATCCAGTAATAACTATTGAAGTGAGTGCATGTTTCAATAAGCGATTATAATAAGTTAAAATTTAGAAAACAATCAATAAAATTGGATGAGACGGGGTATTTCATCAATCTAGAGTGGATTCTGTTATATTTACTTAATGCTTAGTTGGGTTCTATTGTATATGAAGATTTGAAAGCTACTCCAGTAGTAAATCGTCATATATATTTAGATGGGATTCAAATGGCTCAGGCTATTCCAATTGGCCTCCCCTGTCGTGCAAACAACACGATATGCTTATTATTATAATGTTAATGAACCTTATGTTACCAGAAGAATCACTAAGCATATAGGTGTATACATAAATGGAAAATCTGGTTTGTCCATTTTGACCTTGTTGTAATTCTAACCCTTTATTCAATCTACTCAACATTATTTTCCTTCCATGTATTAGTATTAATCAATTATCAACAACTTATGTCAGATTTATACCACAAATGTATTCGATTTATTATTAATAATACACATAATAGTCATTTATTCTATATACACATAACCGAATGGATGTTTATAATACAGGATAATGAAATGTACTTTTCTAAACTTCTTGGTGTTTTGATCTGTACAGTTAGCTTATTGTTTGGGCTATCGATCATTATTGCATTGTATAAGCATAAAATCACAACAGTTTCTAGAAGATATGTAGTCTGGCTATGTGTATTTTGGAGGGGGGGGGAGGTGATTAATCGCATTTGATACTCCTAGGTATTATGCATTTATGAAACCTCATTGGATTGAACTTATGACCTTATCGATCAATAGTGAGCATAATATGATTAGTCAACGAAGTCAGAATTCCTTTGTATATTTTTCCCAATGCAAATGATTTCTAAATCGGAGTGGTACCAGTATATCAACTGAAGTAGTGTATAAGTCTATTCATGAGATAATACTAGGTTCTCAAAGAAAGTATTTCATGATAAATGAGGTTTCTACTAGATTTCATATAGAGACTTTCAAGTAAAATAAATGATCGTATATTATTAGTTTAACCGAGTACTGTCTAGTGTACTTTCTGGCAATAAAACATGAACAATTAGGTAGTTTATGATGAATATTTAACAAGTGCATACTACAAATGTACTTCATAACTGAATGTGAACTCATATTTTCTTATTATATTGAGATATTTGTAAATAATAAAAAAGTTATGGAAAAGAGTGACAGTAATTAATATCTGGGACGTTGATAACTTCTTCAGTTCTCATTAACAGATATTTGTCATGATACTGTGGCAGACAGAATGGAAGTTGCATTGCTTTTTTTTATACATGGTTAGGGTTATCAAAGATTGATCTGATCCAACATCTAATATCAAATGACTAAAGTTATTAGATAAAACATTCCAACCATTTACAGTTGCAGTCAACACTGTTTAAACTTTCATAGATAACCATAGTAACATAACGTGAATCATTCTACTTTGTAACCGTATCCTTCATCAACTCCTCAATAAACATTTTTCATAGTATCAAGCCCAGAATATAAATGTATTCAAAGAAGCATGTTAAAACGTTGCATAATTCAGTCTTCCTTACTGTGATTCTTAATATAAGAGGTTAATATCTCTTCCAGTTGAAAAATTACTCATGCATTAGTATCAGTACACCTTAATGAAGTTAAGTATTATGAATTCTATGAAGCTCACTTAATAATCATTTTTACTGTGAGAGGTTTTCAGATATTGTTGAATTTTATAGTTTACTTCCATAGTTTACTAAACCGTTGAAATCCAGAAAGCTCTGAACAGCTGTTTCGTTTTAGGATGGGACTACTTACCGATATACGATGACATCACTAAGCAGTCACAAGTACACATAAAAACCTCTAAGAAGTTTACAAGACATGGATTCAATTCCCAATGAAGTTGAAGATTCTATCACTGTTGATTAATCCCATACTACAACAAGATTACTGTTCAATATTTTCTGTTTCTCAGTGGTTACCTGATTAAGATCAGTTTGTGATGTAAAGTATAACTAACTATTTCCGTCCCATTTATTTGGAATACTTATGATTGTTTATATTAGTAGTAAAACAACATTATCTTATCAATTACAATCTTATGCCGTAAATGAATTTCGTCGTCATTCCAGATCTTTGTTCATTTACTTTTCATTTGAAATAAGAGAATTTCTGGCTGCTCAAATACACGTGCATACATACATACATACATACATACACATATAGACATGAAATGAATTATAAGCATTCAGTATAATAATAAATTCCTTCCCTTTTACGTCTTACCATAAAGAATAATTCATGAAGGGAGCAGAATCGTTTGAGTCAATTTTATATCTAATCCCTCTTTTTGTGTTGTCCTAGCAACAGACATATATATATATGCCTGTATATAAATATTATAATTTCAACGTCTACCGTGGAAATAATCAATCAGACATTACAGTAAGTTCTACTAATAATGAGATATTTTATCAGGTAAGAATATTTTTATTACCATGTTATAACATAAATCTCAATTTGACAAACAGATCCAACTTATTTTCATCGTAGATCTCATTATGAATCTCAAATGATATAAGTTTTAAGGAGTATGAAAATCCAATGGAAACTTTTGATTGAGACTTTATATTTTCTCGACATATATTCAATTAATAACAGATGGGTTTTGTGGATATTATAGTCCCACAATAGGACAAAACGGGCGTCCAGTTCTTTCAGGTATTCCATGGTGATCTAGCTTCAATTGACTCATGATCTTAACCATTGAAATTACTATAATATCTAAAAAAACACCCAACTAATATTAATTAACATATGCTCACTAGTGACTGACGTCAAGAGGCATTTCCTGGAGTTATAGTGAGAAGAAGTGACCAGTGGAGTTCAACCAGGTCTGTTGTGGAATATCAACTCACTGTAGACAATGATGTATGTTGGCGCATTTTCATGGATTGGTTGAAGTTAAACATTAACACCGTTGGATGCCGGCCAGCTCAGTGGTCTAGTGGTTAAGTGCTCGCGCGCGAAACCGGCAGGTCCTGGATTCGAGTCTCGCATGGGGCGAGGTCGACGATTCCCACAACATAACGAAAAGGCCGTCCAGTGCTTATAGGTATCCCATAGTGGTCTAGCTTCAACTGACTCATGATCTTAACCATTGATATGTATTCAATTGTTAGATTGAGGTCCGCTTATTCAGGCTTCTCTTTTGTAGTTATCTAATCTAATTCAATACAATATTAGACTAATCTTGTTTGATAAAATATCTAAAAGTATTTTAATCAATGAAAACTTGCATTTAGATTGTATTATTAATCACTGTTAAGTATAACCAATTGTTGAATATGTAACATGGTGCATTATTGTACTACATTAGAGATTATGATTAGTTAAATAACCAAGTAGAAATTGACATAACTATTTCATTCTCACCTAAGTCACTACAATTAGAAGTGATATTTCATCCATTCCGAAAGTTCTATTAATCTTACCTGAGCTCAGATGATAGAGAAACCTCTGCTACATAGTTTTAAAATGAAAGTGAATTATTTTTTAAAGTGTTCAGTCTATTTCAGTTCTTTTTCTGTAAATAATTCTCATACTTTATTAATAAATAATTTCAGATAGGGTTTTGTGGATATTATAGTGATTTCAATAGTTGAGATCATGAGTCAATGGAAGCTAGACCACCACAGAAAACCTGGAAGCGCTAGAAAGACGTTTCTTCCCATTGTGGGACCCCTCGGCAGCGTGCATCCACGATCCTGCCTCACGAGATTCGAACCCAGGACCTATCAGTCTTGCGCGCAAGCGCAAGTGCTTCCAGGTTTTCCATTGAGGTCTAGCCTCAATTGAATCATGATCTCAACTATTGAAATTAATAAATAATTGTTATTATAAAGAATGATGAAGATGGGTTACATTATCTGCACTTTTGGAATTATGTAATACTCTCAGTTAAATAGTTTAGTTGTAATAATCTGATTGTTATTTTAGACAATAATATGAGTAACTACTGCTTTATGCTTAATGTATCTATTTAGACAAATGACAAATAACAATTCATATACCAATACAGAACACTCTACATGGAATCCAATAATCCATATTGATGAATATCGTATTATTGAGTAAGTTCACTGTATATGGTAATCTAGCCAAGATAAGTTCGTAATTTAAAATTGTAAGAATTCTACAATCACCACAAATTCTATATAGTAATAATATTATGTTTAATAGTTGAATTCATGAGTCAATTGAAGCTAGAGCATTATGGAGAACCTAGAAGCACTGGATGGCCGCTTCGTTCTAGTATAGAACGCCTCAGCAGTAAGCATCCACGATCACACTCCGCAAAGATGTTCGTACAAACAGAAATAAACCAGTTGGGGGTAGAAGCTTTAAGGGGAAGATGGAAGGTGAAGTAGATGGCTGTAAAGGAAGAAAAGTATGAATAAAGAAACAAATTATAAGACATTAAGACCATGGTAGAAGAAGAGGTTGTACCAGTCTCTTCTGTACACACAATTCTGGTTTTTCCAGATGTATGGTTAATGCTTTAGCAATGCAAAGAAAATGCAGTCGAATTGTTCTTAGAAGACTTCTACTTACCTTGTAGATGACTTCGAACGCATAGTCTGTCTTGATTGAGTGATCTGTGTTTACAAAATGTTCGATTATTGGACTTCTTATTGATCCGTTGCCTCCTCTTTATTATCTGTGAATAAAATAAAGTGTAAATATATTGTTTATATTTTCATTCTGAAAACAACCACATTTTAAAAAGAAGAAAAAGAAAAGGAAATAAAAATGTCACTAGTTGAGACCATGAGTTAATTCAAGATAGACCACTATAGAAAACCTGGAAGCACTGGATGACCATTTCGTCCTAGCATGGGACTCCTCAGCAGTGCACATCCATGATCCCGCCCCCCTTGCGAAATTCCAATCCAGGAACTATCAGTCTCGCGCGCGAGCACTTAACCACTAGACCACTGAGCTGGCCGGCATCCAACGGTGTTAATGTCTAACTTCAACCAATCCATGAAATTGCGCCACCATACACCATTGTCTACAGTGAGTTGATATCTCACAAAAGACTTGGTTGCACTCCACTGGTCACTTCTTCTCACTATAACTCCAGGAATTGCCTCCTGACATCAGTTATTAGTGAGCAGATGATTATTGTCAGAAGGGGTTTTGTGGAAATTGATAGGTCCTGAATTCTAATCTCACAGGGGGGCGGGGTCGTGGATGCGCACTGCTGAGGAGTTCCATACTAGGACGAAACGGCCATCCAATGCTTCCAGGTTTTTTATGTTGGTCTATCTTTAATCGACTCATGAATTCAACTATTAAAATTTTCTACAATATCTACAAAAGCCCCTTTCTGATAAAAATGTCACTGTTTAATTCTTTCTTCTTCTTCTTCTTCTTTTCCTTCTCTTCTTCTTTTCTTTTTCTCATAGTGATCAACAAATTCCAGATTATGAAAATATATTCATGGCAGCTTATTTAATTGGACAAGAAAATTATTCCAATAAATTATCATCTCAATCAAACTATGAATTATTAGATACTACTAATGATAATAGTAGTAATAATAAGGATTCCTCTAATGTGGATACACTAATTGGACAATTTCAATCCAAGTCTAATAATACTAATGCCAATAATAATAATGATATTAGTGATCATGATCAATTAATCAATAATAGTCATTTGACCTTAGAAACCATTTGGGAACGATATTTATTACTTAATAATATCCGTAAACGTTTATTATATAAAAAACAAAATATGATCAATCAAGATAATAATTTCAATGAATCAAAATTAATTTTATATCCAACAAATAAAATCAATAATAATGATCATAATAATGAAACATGGAAAATTGATTCATTAAAGAAATCTAAACAATCAGAACTGATATTTAATGAGTTATCATTGGATAGATATACACAGAAATGTGTTGAAGTAAGTCGATTAGATGGGTTTTGTGCTACTTGGCACTCGTCAGCAAGGTGTACCTGTAGTCTTGAGGGAACTGGCGCTGACTAACGGATTCGATCCCGTATCACCCAGTTTCACAGTCAGAGACGTTACTACTGAGCTATCCGGTCCGCGATTGGACTTGACACACATGACATTGATCACCATCCAGTGATCAATCAGTTGTGATATATACATGTGTACCTGAATTCACTACTTGTCTTGGAAGTTATATCAGCTTTGATAAATTGATGCCTAACTAAATCTTGGTTGATTGTTGCAAGTATATGTTCATCTGCTGCTAACCAATGGATAAGTATGATGAACATTAGTTTGTTCTATTTTATTTTGTCATTATGAAACGTGGTGTTCTAATATACGACTATGATATACTTTTATAAAAAAGTAAAGGACATTTGTAGTTCAGTAATATGGAATTATAAATTTCTTAAAAGCGATGTTTACATATGTTAGGACCAATAAGTTAATAATAGTGAGGCTAGGTGTATCATGTTAGATAATGATGATAAATCGATTCATAAAGTCATAAATCTTTGATAAGGTAAATAGCTAGGAAACTTACTGAGTATCTAGAACTTCATATTTGTTGATATTGAATTAGACTGAAAAAGAACTAAAGGCGATGAAAGCAAGGCAAGGCATCAGTTCAGAAAATCATCAATTTTTGAATAGAACTGTTTAAGAAGATATAGACTAACTGTTTCGATTTCACGTTTTACCTTTTCATGTTCTAAGACTTTTAGGTCATATATTCCTGCTTACGTTGTTTTGAAACATGATAATTGTTAAACGAACAATAAATATTCACATGTTGCTGACTATTTGAACTGTTGTTATATCTCTTTCTGGACAAACTTTAAACATGACATCATTCAGTATATTGACTTGTTTATGACTCAATAGAATCGAGTTTCATTTTAATTCTATGAAACTAATTGTTTTTTGGTCAACTTAAAATTCATCAGTAAATAATATATATAACTTAACTGGGTAGTATGTTTTAGGCTGATATTCACTTCAAGATTACTTTCAGAATAAACTTACATAAGATGAAAGACAAGTAGAAATTAGCTGGCAACAAATTACAATTTTTTCCTAGATTTCACAACGATATTAGAAACCATAGATTTACATGAAATTAGATCTATGAATATGCGGATCGATAAAGCAAGAGCAGTATATTTACAACTGAAAAACATCTAGAACTCAAAACAACTGTCTGTTAACCAACACCAAGGTCAGAATTTTCAATACAAATGATAAAACAGTTCTACTGTATGGGGCGGAAACCTGGATGACTACGAAAGCCATCATCCAAAAGTTACAGATGTTTATTAACAGTTGTCTTCGCAAAATACTTCGGATCCGTTGGCCAGACATTATTAGCAACAACCAACTGTGGGAAAGAACAAATCAGATCCCAGCAAAGGAAGAAATTAGGAAGAAGAGTTGGAAGTGGATAGGATACACATTGAGGAAAGCACCCAACTGCGTCGCAAGACAACCCCTCACATGGAATCGTCAAGGCTAAAGGAGTAGAGGAAGACCAAAGAACACATTACGCCGGGAAATGGAAATAGACATGAGAAAAATGAACAAGAATTGGATGGAACTAGAAAAGAAGGCCCAGTACAGAGTGGGTTGGAGAATGCTTGTCGGCGGCTTATACTCCATTTGGAGTAACAGGCGTAAGTCAGTAAGTAAGTCATGACTTAATGTTATATATAGATATCCGATTTCAGTAAACATTTATACCATTAGTCATAATTATTTATTACTTATTATTAATAATCCCTTTATTCAATATTATAACTTGTGATACACTGTAGAATTCTCAGCACAAATTATTTCAACAAGTTTCCTTTTCTTATTTCTTGATCGATCCTGACGATAAATATTGTAACATGTACAGTGAAATGTCGAAAACCTTTCAAAAACTCACCTGAATAGGTTATGAGTTTAATAGACATAATAATATATGTTAAAAAGAAACAAGCGAACAGATAACTTATTGAAATATCCAGGTGACAAGAACAGATAGCCCAGATATTCAAACATGTCTCGTTGTCCAGTGTCTCTTGAGTTTCGATGGTTTACCGATTGATATATATAATCCTTGATTATACATATTGTTCATTTAGGGGTTACAACGTATTAATTTAAAATGTGAAAAACTTGAATATATGATGAAATCAATGAAAGATACTCTTACCTTACAAATGAATGCTTATCAGAACCATAAAAGTAAGTTAAAGTTCAAATCATTCTAATTTTTCTTTATACTTGAGATATAACTGACATGCTCTAAATATTGTCTAATGACAATGAATTAACTTTATTACTTGAAGTGATTGAGTTTTTGATGAACTGGTTGCAATACAGATTTTTCTGTTCTAGGAAAATATAAACTATTCAAAAATATAATTGATGTGATATTGGGAGAGACAGAAGTGGATTTGCGCGCGAGACCGAAAGCTATGGTTTAGAATCCCATGAACGAGATCGTGGATGCGCACTGCTGAGGAGTTCCATACTAGGACGAGACGACTGTCCAGCGCCTACAGGTGGTCTAACATGAATCGGTTCATGATTTCAACCAATAACTTCATAATCTCTACAACCCCATACTGACACTTCTAAATATAGTGTATAAATTGTTCATTCAGAACCATTTCCCATAGTATTAGGTGTTATTAAAATGTATCATAGGACCATTGATCAATATACATATAAATTAAAAAGTTTCAATAAAATTTACAAATTTCACGATGTTTTTACATGTTTTTATTTGATCAATAAAGCAACTAAAAATCGAACCAAATATTTTTCAGGATAATTTTAGCCTGTAAAATTATAACACCGTCTGCTTTTAGATTTTTTAAAGCTTTTTAAAGGCCCTAAAGGAGCCGAAGAGTTTCTATACAATCAGAACGTGATAGAGCTTTCTAGAATATCAACATGGCAAGCTACCATATGGATAATAACATAACATGCCTTTTTGCGGATTGGCTGAATTATAATGTTAAAATAATAAACGCTAATATCTATAAATACCCATGATTTTTAACCAACAAACACTTCTCCAGTTTTCTTCTGATTTGTGACTGTGGGAATTCTATTATTTCGACTGCCGTAGTTGTATACCGTATTCTGCGTTAATCAAGTACTAAACATAACACTGGCAAAGGGGTGTACTAGTAACACTGCCAATTACCTTTAAACAAGTAGAATCTATGCTTGAACGTCAGGAAAAACAGTCTGAACAGTTTCAAGTGCATATACTGGAGATGCTAACGCAACAAATGAATATTAGTCACAAAAGGCTTATTGATGATTCATGTAATTGGCATACCGATTCCGTCATCAAATCTATCCATGAATCTAATTTTGAAGGCTTGGTTGATATTACTTTTGAATCCTGGTTCAAGAAACACGAAGATTTTTTCATGGTAGACCTCAAGAATCTTGATGACGCCGCCAAAGTCAGAATACTCCTAAGAAAACTTGGCACGGTTGACTAGGAACGTTACAGTAATTTCATCCTTCCAAAAAAACCATGGGATTTTTCTTTTGATGCGACAATTGATATCTTATTGCAAATCTTTTCTGAACAGTCATCTTTGTTCAATATCCGTTATCAGTGCCTCAAGATAACAAAGGCCGATGATGATGATGATGACTGGGTGAAACATGCAGGTTTAGTAAATCACGAATGTGAGCGGCTTGAGCTATCAGCAATGACAGAAGATCAGTTTAAGTTCCTTGTGTTTGTATGCAGTCCCCAATCTCCTGAAGATGCTGATATTAGAACCAGAATTTTGAGTAAAATTGCACAGTGTCCAAACATAACTCTAAAGGAAGTAACCACGAAGTGCCAGAGATTGGTCAACTTAAAACATGACACCTCCATGGTTGAAATGAATAGCCGGTCACCATACGTTCATATTGTAAGCGAAAAGAAAGATTCCGGCTCAAGAAAATTATCGCGCACAGACAATCAACCCTCATCTTCATGCTGGTCATTAGGAAGTTGGCATTATAAGACGTTCTACCCATATAAGGAACATTGTTGCACTAAATTTCATCATAAGAGCTAGCTGCAGAAAAAGAACCCATCGACATCATTCTTCGAAAACCTAGTTCAAGAAATGTAGATCCGGTGCATTAACTAACAACATATTGGTACCTCAGAACCGAGCACGCCTTCTAATGAATTGATACACAATTCTTTTTAGCCTACTTTCAGAAATTTATCTTATTTTACAGAAAAACTTGACAATGAAATTATGAAAAAATGTAAAAATTTCCCAGTGAAGGAGTTCGGAGATATTTCAAAAGAAAATACATTATCTGTAAGTTTATGCATTATTTCCCTTGGTGATCTAGCTTCAAGTGAATCATGAATTCAATTATTAAATTTCTAGAATCTCCACAAAACCTCTCTTATTATAATCACTATATACTCATTAGTGACTGGCTTCAAGAAGTATTTCCTGGACTTCTAGTGAGAAGCCGTGACTAGTGGATTTCAATCGTGTCCGTTGTGAGATAGTAACTCACTGAAGACAATGGCGGATGGTGGTGCAATTTCGTGGATTGGTTGAAGTTAGACATCAGCACTGTTGGACGCCAGCTCAGTGATCTAAACGTAAGGCATTCGCGCGCGAGACCGAAGGTTCTGGGCTCGAGTCGCAAGTACGGGACTGTAGATCCTCACTAACACGAAACGGCTGTCCAGTGCTTCTAGGTTTTCCATAGTGGTCTAGCTTCAATGGATTCATGAATCCAATTATTAAACCATGCATTCTTGTTATGTTTTCACCACGATGTCACTAACAAAAATATATTCGAACTTCCTTACTAAAAAAGACATATTTTTGATATAACCTCAGTAAAAAGATAATTAAAACAGTAAAAGAAAACTGGAAGTTTCATGACTTAAGGTGGAAGGTGAAGTTTAATGGGGTACTACAATATCTTACTAATTAAAACACACTCATTTTTTATGAAGATCTTACTGTTCTCTGACAATAAGTCAGTTCATATCATACATAACAAATAATAGAGGTAATATAAACATTGAATTTATACTGGAAGTAAATCAAATGAATACTGTAAGTTATACTGAAGAAATGTCACACTGAATTAAAACGTTATCTTGTGTTCTATTCTGTCTTAATTGCCCTCAATCCTCCAATCATAACAATGTAAGGTGTAAACGACTGGTAGAAAGTATCATTTGCCTTTGACTCAACTTATATGATTATGTATATATAAACAAAGCGGTTCAAATGATTATAAATAACATGAGAGTTTTCGTTTAAAGGAGTAAAGGAGTCTTAACTACCAGTAGGTACAGTAATTGAATGTGATACTGTGATGTGGGTTACTTATATCCATATAGGTGGTCAGACAGAGAATGTATTTCAGCAGAAGATCGATAAGGAAAGAATGAAAACGGAACGCAATTAGTATGGAAAGGCATAAACAATGAAATCTGAGACAATGGACTGATATTTGCAAAACGAACAGTCAAGTTTGAGACGATGGATTAATATTTTGCAAATTAACGATTTGCTATATGGTTCTCAGGTTTTATTGAGATGCTCTGTAATTTCATGTCAAATACATCCTATTGTCCCCATTGGTGTTCATGTTCACTACAATACGACTTCTCAACTGCTGACATTTACAGGACAAGACAATAATTAAATCCGTTTTAATACGAGTTTGCGAAACCCGTTTCCTGATGGTGATTTGGCCTGCATGACCAAGTAAAGTATAGGTATGCTCAAAATGGATGTTCACGTACACCACTAGTTTAGCTATGAACTCAAAGACGGACGTATTTTAAATGTTAAAGCAATGTGATCTAATGTTATCCTCAACATTTTCATTCCCATAATGTGTATCGTACTTAGCATGTTCGACTATTTTTACATTCGTTTAGTGAGTGAGTGCTGGTATTAAAGTGTGTTTTTTATTAAGGATTTCAAGATCTGACTTTCTCCGTAATTTTTCTCTGTTTCATCCGATTTCTTGAACTGAGCTACACTGTACACATTAGTAGAAGACAGTGATAAATAACTCCAACAGTTTGAAATGAATTCGGTAATGAAAATTTCAGTTCAGTATACACCAGTCACCAGATAAATGACCAAAACTATTGGTTACGACATAGTGAATACTGAAGATGTTACTGATAACCCCTAGTCTACCATCCGTCATTCGGTTCTTACATTTATTTATTATTACAGAGAATTTGTAAAATTATTAAAAAAATATTTGTCATTGGGTGGTGTAAATTTGCATAATTAACACATCTACTATTTCGTTTTCTTAACCATTTCTAGTCGGATATAACAAAGCGATTCACAAATTCATTGAAAACAATCATGGGACGTAAACGATATTTTCAAGTAAGTTGAAAACTTCAAAAATTACAATTTAACTTCTTATCTTTTGATATTTAACAATTGAAAGTAAATGTAATAGTTGAATTCATGAGTCAGTTGAAGGTAGACCACCATGGAAAACCTGGATGCACTGAACAGCTTTTGCATCCCAGTACAGAACACCTCAGCAGTGCGTATCCACGATCCTGCCTCGCAAGATCCAAACCCAGGACTTATCAGTCTCGCGCGCGAGTGCTTAAACTTTAGACCACTGAGCCTGCATCTAACGTTGAAAGAAACCACAATTATATTTGAAATAATCTCAGCGATTGAAATTTAAATAATTCCAATGTTTCGTCCAGCTTAAATTTCAGTCGCTGAGATTATTTCAAGTATACTTCTCGATACTCGACACCCGATTTCTGTCAAATTATTCGTTCTAATCTTGACGAATATTCGTACACATAATTATAATGATTATTTTTAGCTGACTCCGTCATGGAATATAATGATAGGTTTATATTCAATAACGCCCTCTCATGTTGGTGTTAGGGAGGTCCAAAAAGTTCTTCGAAATTAGCAAATAGGCGCTCTGAAAACGTTGAGAAACCCCTTATTCAATCACAATTCAATAGAAGTTTTACCGGAATCACCAAGAAAGTGACACGTTACATGTCACATTTCTGATTGAATGATTACTTATAACGCTACTATGTTTAGGAGCCTTACAGAAGCCCAAAGCCATCTAAAATACTAGAAATACCCTAGATTTTCTGTACATAAACCGAATTTGGAGTAAAGTGTTTCTTCCATATTTCGCGCATTTTCTCTCGTGTTTAAGTTGCTGTATAGATTTAGTCTAAGGTTACTAGAGAGCTCAGGAAACCGAATCTAGAGTGTTTAGCTTTTGAATATGTGTGAGCTAATATTATCTCATTTATGCAACCGAAATACAACCCAGTGAAATTCCTGAATGGATGGCTACGATTCTAAGGATGTATATTCACTGAGATAACACACAAATAAATAACTAACATGAGAACTGTCTACCCACTCGGAGTATTTTAAGTCTCAGTGATTTAAAAGAATGTCAGAGGAAAACATATGGTCCGTAATTATACAGAGAACTATTATTTAGCAAAGAACTATCACTAACTCGATACATTTTTAACCAATCTGAAAATATAACAGAAACATGATTAAATACTTTGTGCTGATTGATTGAACAGGACTCTAAATTTTCCAATGAGATTATTTAGAACAAGTAGCAATATGAACTAAAATTTGAAACTCAATGACTGACTTTATAAGCAAAGACGGATAGTGGCTAGCAGTGAAATCCAAGACGCGCGTTTCATCCTATTTGTAACTCGTCTACCGGATGTGCCTGCCTCCCAGTTACAAACAAATAATACCAAGTGAATCAATGACTGAAACGTAGACTGTTTATACAAATGTCGTTAGTTCAAATCAACTAATTATATTTAAGGGATACGAAGAATCCGTTTTTCACATTGATGGTTTCACTCTTCAATGAAATAAAACGGTCATCATTGACATTGAAATCATTCATTGATTCATGTAAGAGTTGTTAAAATCCTTGATGGCTAAACAGTGTGTATTCCAATTTGTATAATGATAGTCATATACTCAAAGATGGATAGTGGCTAGCAATGGAATCCAGAACGCGCGTTTCGTCCTATTTGGGACTCGTCTGCTGGATGTACCTGCATCTCAGAGTTGATGTTCACTCTGGGACTCAAACCCAGTACCTCAATGGGAAGATACAACCAAAACAATACCAAGTGAATTTCAATTCACTCCATTGCACAAGCAAGTGGCTATCAGGACTCAGTAGCTGAGTGGATAACGCAATGGCGTTCGAAGCGTATGGTACTGTGTTCGAGTCCCAGAGTGATCATCAACTCTGAGATGCAGGTACATCCAGCTGACGAGTCCCAAATGGGACGAAACGCGCGTCAAACTAAATTCCACTGCTAGCCACTATCCATCATTGCTTATAAAAGCTTGTGAATTAACGCAATATCGAGGCATACGCACAGTACGCACATATGCCAATAACAGACTGATCAATTCCAGTCCTAAACCTCATTGAGAAGAGACAAGCCAAACAATACCAAGTGAGTAGTCATATACTGTTTCATAATCATTTTTGTCAATTTCATCTGCGAAACAAACTTTTGATTATTTTCAATTCAATTTAGATTATTAAAACTTCTCATTTGGAGAATCTTTACAATCAAATGAATGTAAGCCAATGTTTAGCTCAAACTACTTTCAAACAATGGAAGAAGCTTAAAGAAGAAAAACATAAAATAGAACTACACTCAGAATGTATTCGTTTAAATAAAGCTAATAAAATGCATCATAACTTATGGAAATATGATATACCTGATATATTGAAGGTAATTTGTTCTAATAATCTTTAATTATTTCATTAATTTAACACTCACCTATCAACTATACTTCATTCATATAAGAATTAATGGCAAACACAATTTAGCTGTTCATGTTGAAGTTCATAGAGCGATGTTCAAACAAATAACGTTCTTGCTCGAAAACATTAAATCACCAATTCACATTTGTAATTAACCATAGCTGTATGTTACCATATGCCAAGTATAGCAAAAGCATAAGATCCTGGATGAAAACACAATTTTAAAGGAAGTTAGGAGTTAAAATAAAATCTATACTCCAATATGAACATGTCTATCAAACGAACGGAAAAGTGATCAGTATGGTACTGTTACAGTGAACGAGAACACAAGTGGGGACAATCTAATGTACATACTTACTTACACCTGTTACTCCCAATGGAGCATAGGCAGCCGACAAACATTCTCCAACGCAACCTAAGGTATTTGGATACAAAACTACGGAGTATCTTAGTAAACTCTGAGAATCCTACAGTAAACTCCTCATTTGCAAAATGTCGATCAATCGTCTCAGACTTCATTGTTCTTTTGTTTCCACAACAATCATTCTCTGTTCACGTTCTCTTTTTTTGATCTTCTTAACCTTCTGCCACTAGGCATTTCACTTTCATTTATGTTATATACTACTCATATCTGTCAACATCAGCAGCATACACCACAATGTATCTGAAAATTAAATTGACTTCAGATAACTTCAACCTTCATGTAAATTCTAGTTTCAGTTCAAGTTAATTAGCCCAGTGTTAACGTCTCCGATTGTGAAGCTGGTTGACACAGGATCGAATCCGTCAGGGAGCACCAATTCCCTCAAGATTACAGGTACACCTTGCTGACGAGTGCCAAATAGCACGAAACCCTTGTCCAGCGTTTCCTGCTGACTACCTCCAATCACCATCTAATCTCAACATAGTGCACGCAATGTCGAGTTACCTAGACTAATGGCCACATTGCAACTTGGTCGATAGTATTTGATTTGCACTAAGAAGGACTTAACACACATGACATTGATCACAACCTAGTGATCAATCAATTGTGATTAACTTTGATTCATCACTCTTAAACTGAAAAACAGTATGCTTGAATCTCTCATTGAAAATACACATTTTCTTGCACTATTAGAGAATTGAACTTGACGTAAATGACTTTGAGAATGCTATGAAAAATATTGATAAAAGATTAAAAATTGATAGTGGAAATTTCAAAATAACAGATGTAAGTCTATGCTTTCATTTGATATTGCCTCCTTTCTCTTTTTTGTTTATCATTGAGTTTTAGCGGGTTATTTAATATAAAAACACTACTTATATTGAAGAAGTCTGATGTAAATCATCTATCAGTTGGACATAAACATAAAGTATGAGTTATTTGTATCACAAAGAGTTTCGTGAATATTATAGAAATTTTAATAGTTAAGATGATGAGTCAATTGAAACTAGACCACCATGGAAAACCTGGGAGCACTGGACAGCCGTTTCGTCCTATCGTGGGACTCCTCAGCAGTGCGCATCCATGATCCCACCCCCATCGAGATTCGAACACAGGATCTATCAGTCTCGCGCGCGAGCACTTAACCTCTAGGCCACTGAGCCGGTGTCCAAAGGTGTTAATGTCTAACTTCAACCAACCACGAGATTCAGTGACACATCCACAATTGTCTTCAGTGAGTTACTATCTCACAACAGTTATTTTTGAGTAGTTTCTGCTTGTGAATCATTAGAGAAATGGAAACATATCCACTGTATTATCTACAATTATGACTGGAATAAATGATAGAACCTTCTACTTTTAATATGAAGATCAAAGGTTATAAGTTTAGATCAAGAAACTATAACTGTATTACGATAGGAACTTAATTTTCATTGCATGTTGACATATCAACTAGAGAACTATTGAATTTATCACAGATCGGTAAGTAGTTATTCTTTTATAGACTTCTCAAGAGTGTATACTAATGACTTTCATTCATTGAGTGTTTAGAATTATCATGATCTTTGAGAAGGTTAAATGTTCGATGTTCTTTTATATGTTAGTTTTCGGATATACACGGTTGAGAAGTCTTAAACTTGAATAATAAATTACTCAGAAGTTTAGCCTAGTTCATGACTGAAACCGTCTTCATTCTACAAGAATGATTTTACATATTTAGTAGAATGATCCAGAACGTTCGTTTCTTTCTATTTGAAATTCACCAGTTAGATACACATGCTTTCTAGAGTTGATAATTACACTGAAATTCACATACTGATACCATATTCCAAATGTCTAGAAACTTTAAACTTAAGACAGTATCAAAACACCCTCTCAGAAAGTTTATATCCTTAATTAGATGGATCATATGCATTCTTGAATGTTACAACCAATTATGAAAGTGTTTGTTGAATGTATCTAGATTTACTTTTACCAAATACTACCACACTTGGTATTGTTTGGCTTGTATCTTCCCATTGAGGTTTAAGACTGCAATTGATCAGTCTGTTATTGGCATATGTGCGTACTGTGCGTATACCTCGATATTGCGTTAATTCACAAGCTTTTATAAGCAATGATGGATAGTGGCTAGCAGTGGAATCCAGTTTGACGCGCGTCTCGTCCTATTCGGGGACGAAACGCGCGTCCTGGATTCCACTGCTAGCCACTATCCATCATTGCTTACAAATACTACCACAGTTTGATAAACGAATAGTTCAAATCAATAAAAGAAATAATAATTTGTGTAACGAACCAAAAAATTTCCATTTACTGAAACATCTTCTCTTCTGATCTTATTCACTCTTTAAGTTCAATGATTTCACTGTTTGAACTTAAATGTTTTGAACCAAAAATGTTCAATTTACAATACGTAAATCCATTTGAATTGTGAATCTTTTCAATCATTTTAACCATAACTTATTGATATTCTATTCAGATTTTAGAAATATTTACCGGTTGGTATTTAGATATCAATTTATTTATTGTATTGGCTGCTTTAGCTGAAAGATTTGACGGTTTAGAGTAAGTTTTATTATTAACCATTATGTTTAGTGGAATCCTTTTCATTTGTAGGTTGTATATTTACGACCTTATCATAGATCAAACCTAAGACCAGTGTTCCATGAAAATATTCCAAGTTCAACCAGTTTTGATTAGAGTATCATAAGTGGGCAATACTGAGTAATCTCATACTACGATGGTATGTGATTATTCATCTGAAATTAAGTTTTGACAAATCTAATCTAAAATTAAATCAATTGGCACAAAGCTCCTTCAATTGTTTAAGAGACTATAGTTTGTGATAAAGGCAGTAGGCGGAAAATATTATTACTTGCCTTAATGAGATGGTAAAGATTTGTAGTTCAGGTGAAGTTTAGTTCGCTGAGCTGGATCGTTATGTCATGGATCTTTCATGATTCTTCTGAATAACAACATCAACACAAACTTCAAGTAGAAGTGAAGTATTCGAATTTCTCTACTTAGTTCAGAATTAATTTGATTGAAAATGACTAGAGAATGAATGTGTTCCTCACCTTGATCAAACAGAGTTATATTTAGTACATTTGAACTTCTGACGGAGTTTTGTTCGCTGAGCTGGGTGGTTTGCTCGTGGAGCTTTCATCGTTCTTCTGAACGACATCATCCGCAGCACAAGCTTCAGATAGAAGTGAAGTGTTCGAATTTCTCCATATGCGTTTTACAGCTTGTTCTGTACACCTCGACGTTAATTGGCTCTTACTGACCTTAAATTTGTCATTTTCTACTTCTTTTTCTGGTTGTGTCTCCCATTGGTTTGATTTTTGTTCCTGTATTTGGAATTTGGAATTTGAACTTCTTATTTCGACACTTAGAAAAAGGTAAATAAAATGAAGAAGGAAATTTCTTTTCAGTTCGTTTCTCATCATGAAATTACACTGATATCTAATAATAAAATATGAAGTCAGTACAAACTAAGCGATAATGTGTCAAATCATCTGTGTTTAACTTGTTAAAGACCAATTAAATTTGATTGTTTCATACATCATTATCTGATCGATGCACGACGTTATTTAGACACAGATGAATCATCTTAAGTGATCAAATCAATCCTACCAAATGTTCCATACGGTTTATGTTAACTTCTCTACATGGGGTTGAAGTAACCGGTATCCATTTTAACATACTAGATATCTGTATTCTTAGGATAATTGTTCAGTCGTTCACTTTACCTTGGATATTGATGTAGCCGGTACTAGAGTGAATTTCAAATATCTTGTTGTTCATTATCTTCTATTTTATTTAGGAGATTTCCAAAAAGTTTTGTTTCATTAAAAATTTGATAAACCGATTGTAATTAAGCTAATGTGGTTATATCTAGCTCTCATCAAAAAAGAAATCTACATTGGTTAAAGAACCACATAAAGATTGAGAACCTTAGATATTTCATTCTTACATGGAACTAATTAGCAATGTTTACATATTATATTCTAAAAGTTGAGCCCATAACCATTATGCCCCACAACCATTGAGCTATAATTCAATAATTAACAATCCCAACTTCGGTGCATTTCTATAGGCTTCTGATAATTTGAAGGTAATTAATGAACAACTGATATATATATATATATATGTAGTTTCAAAAGTCTACATGAAATGTGATTATAGAGATACTTAATTGCATACATATATTTGACCTACTTTTCTAGTCGTTAAATAAAACATATCTGCATATCACCAGAAAGTGGGTTTTGTGGATATTGTAATAATTGAATAGTTAAATTCATGAGTCAATTAAAGTGGAGTTCAACCAGGTCTGTTGTGAGATAGGAACTCACTGAAGACAATCCAACTTCGTGGATTGGTTGAAGTTAGACATTAACACCGTTGGATGCCGGCCGGCTCAGTGGTCTAGTTGGTTAAGTGCTCGCGGGCGAGACTGATAGGTCCTGGGTTCGAATCTCGTAGTGGGGGTGGCGGGATCGTGGATGTGCACTGCTGAGGAGTCCCATACTAGGACGAAACGGCTGTCCAATGCTTCCAGGTTTTCCATGGTGGTCTAGTTTCAATCGACTCATGATTTCAACCAGTGAAATTTCTAAAAAATCCCCACAAAACCCATTCTGATAATAAAGCATTGGACGACCGCTTCGTCCTAGTATGGAACTCCTCGCCATATCTGTACATAATTTTTTTTACAAAGTATCAAATATACTTGAAGATTTATTTACAGAAACCCATTTTATTCCATGCACAAATCAATTTGTTGTGAGTAGTAGTAAACCACATGTTAGTTAAGATAATACTGATTAGCTGGTACTTAGTTGGGTTACATTATGCGATTTTTTTTTCTCTTATTTTCTAGGTTGATTGTTCCTTACAAACATTAAGTTATTGAAATGCACATAATATTATTACGTTTAACATTCATTTCTACATTTTATTGTATACCATTGATCATAATAAAGCACTTTTGATAAGTAAACAGAAAAAAAAGATATGAATTAGAATAAGCTGCATAAACAGACAAACAATATTGATTTCATTTGCATCTTCATTAGGCTTCACATTTCCATATGGTAATACTTTTGTAAAGTACATAAACCAGTCATGACAATTTATAAGTCGATCAAAGCTAAACCACCATTAAAAATCTGGAAGCCGTAACTAGTGAAGTCCAATCTATGTCGGGTAGAGATAGGTATCTACCTCAGACAATTGATAAATGGTTGTGAAGATCATAGATCGATTGAAGTTAGTCATTAACATAGTTGGATCCTGGCTCAGTGATTTAAAGGTCAAGTGTTCGTGAGATGGAAGGTTCTAAATTCGAGTTCCGTATACGGGACCGTAGATATGCACTTCTGAAGAGTCCCATACTAGGACAAAATGGTCGTCCAATGTTTCCAGAATTTCAGTTGTGGTTCGGCTTAAATCGACTCATAAACTCAACTATTAAAAATTACTACAATCTCCACGAACCCCTATTCTAATTTACGAATCGATAATAACAATGAAGTGAAATGCATAGTAAATCACAACAAGGAAAAGAAGTACAAATAAGGTAACTGTAGAACATTCTTAAATCATAATTGATGTCCTTATATCTAACCACATAAGTGGTTGAAAATTCAAGAGAAAACAACACCACTCAAGGTTATCCGTCGATTAGGTTAAGTGATTTTTCTGTGTTAGCTTGTTCATAATTCAGTTAATGAGCTATAATTTTTGAGGACGATTTTCTTTTTCATCATCCACAGAAGAAAGGATGTGTACCGTAATCTTGATGTAGTTTTCGCACTTATCATTGGCTTGTTCTTATATTTCAGTTTTCTTGGTGTTCCAGTAGTAGTGATAAGTATGATATGAATGACATAAATAAATATTTTAGTACAGTAAGTATTGGGAGCTTTCGATAACTGCCTTAAAATGTCTTCAATACTTAAGAAAATCCATATGACTAGTCAGTTCAGAAACTTGAAATAACATTTAGAAAACAACTGTAAACGTTTTTATTATCTTTATTGAACAAATGCATGTTTTCGAGAATTTTCTTGAATCTTATGTCCATATAGCCTTATAAGTAACTTTACATTCTGTATACGAACTAACCTCCAAATGAAAACTTATAAACTTCTCACCTTTCTAATTTATGTTCGGGCTTCCAGGTAACAAGTCGTCTAAGAACTAGAAAGCGGTTAGAAAGTAGCTATTTAGCCACTCAAGTACGAGATGTATTATTAAGTAGGTCGAAACTTGGTAAAATGAACTTATGAAAACAATAATCATTAGCACTAATAAATACTTAGTGCATAAATTACCAGTTTAAATATATAAGCCGTCAATAGGAGATAAGGAAAAGGAAAACCGAGCTTATGAACATGCAGTAAAATCGTCGACTAATTTTCTCCTGTCAAGAAAAGTACTAGTGTCACTGACTCAGATTACCGTAGCTTCTGATTTATGTGAGAGACAATATCAAATCCATTTGGGATAATGTGAAATGTATGAGGTAGAACATTAGAAAATTTTTAGTGTCATTGACCCTACAACCACTATCGATCAAGTGTGATAAGCAACAACTATATATTGGCTTTGTTTGACCCTTTTTCATGTTGAATCTTACTAGTTACGTTACCTGGTAGTACAGCGATCATAGTCTTCTTCACAGGTATTATCAGTAGGAATCAGCACAAATTTCGACCATCCCCAATTGCAGGATTTCAGAAGTGGAATAAACATAAATTATAAACTTCGTTTGATTTTCATAAATCTCAGCGCTCAAATAAACATCAAACAAATCAAACATCATCCAAATAGGACGAAACGCGCGTCAGACTGGATTCCACTGCTAGCCACTATCCATCATTGCTTACAAAAAGCTTGTGAATTAAGGCAATATCGAAGCGATAAGCACAGTATGCACATATGCCAATAACAGACTGATCAATTGCAGTCTTAAATCACAATGGGAAGATTCAAGAAAACCAACAACAAGTGAATTCATTTATTTATATCCATTTTAGTTAGCACTAATGTTCCATTTAACAAAGCTCTCATTTCATTACCTCTGAACATTCAAGTTTCGTGTTTTTTTTTCTTAAAACATTTATTCTAGATCCATTCTTGGAAATAATGTGCATAAAATTGGTACACAGTCATTGTGTTTGAAAATAAGGAAAGCAAGAGTAAGTGTCGTTCTAAATGATAAAAAATGTATCCTATTTATATATCACAAACATTCTTATATATTCCCAATCTCTTTATTTTGGGTAAGCCGCTATAAAAAATTTTTTGGGAAATGGAACAAAAATCCCGAAATTTCCCTTGATCTGAAGAAATCTCAACAGTTTTGAGGAAGATCACTGAACTTTGGGGATAATCCCAAAATGCCCCCCCCCAAATAGGGAGATTGGATTTATAAGATACTTTAAATTGTAAAAGTGAGTGTTATTGATTAAAGCGTTTATGTAATATGAGTTATTAATTAATCTGCCTAAATGATTATAAAACACAAGTGGGAACAATTGAATGTATTTTGGATATAAAATTACAGAATACCTTTGTCCAATCTGAGAATCATACAGTAAACTTATCATTTGCAAAGTATTAGTCAACTGTCTCAAGTTTGACTGTTTCTTTTGCAGATATCAGTCAGACAGTCATCTCGTTCTCTTTTCTTTAGTGTTCTTAACCTTCTGCCATTAGATATGGAAGGTTTAATGACTGAGCTTTTATTATCCATCTAAGCAACATAAACATCAGTATTATAAAGTTTAACAAGAAATGACGTGATAAAATTTATCAATCAATGACTGACAGTTTGATCTGTCGACATGAAATCTGGTTATTTTGTTTCCAGTCATAGTGACTCCATTGTTTTAACATTCATTTTGTTTGTGCTATTTTCTGGCCGACTGGTTGTTGAACATTATTCCTTCGGACTGACAGATTGAGTTTTTGTTAAAAATGCACATATTTACCGCTAATCAAACCGAATTCTAAGAAAAACTTCAATATTCTTTACCTTACTTACATCTGAGATTCCAAGTTTTTCTTAACTGAGTTCTCATCCTTACTTGTTTATATTGTGATATTTTGTCATATTCAACAGCTATTTGTTTTGCATTCAAATAAGGACAAAATTGAAGCCATCATTTCAGGCGTACTGTTTTTCCTGATTGTAATGTTCAGCTGGTTTTCTTTGATTATTGCCTTTTGGACTGAATTAAAATGTTTGTCTGATTTTCCCTACCTTGTGAACTACACTAACTCACAATGATTCCGGTAAACTGGCTGAAAATTCTCGTACATATTTCTATATTTGGTAGGATAATCCATTTGTTTGTTCGTACATTTAGTTTTTTCACTCAATGAATAAACGTTATTGTAAAGGAAAACTCTGAAAGCCGGACTATTTAACCATGCATCTAGGATAACGAACAGAACATCTAATAGCTTGGAATGCTTTTTCATCTTGATATATGAGAAATAATCAACCTTGTCCTCTGAGAGACAAAGGGAATATTAACTTCCACTATCTATATGCAATCACTGAACGTGGAATATAGTATATCATATTATCACTTTATTTACTTCATTGACAGTCATAGATTTTTTATTCGATAAAATTCTCTATGAAATCCTCTATGAAATAGGTCAAGATATATTAAACTAAAATTATTTAACATTATTCGAACCGTTCTATTTTTAGAACTACACATATTACTTACAACATATCAGTAGTAACAAAAATACATTCCAATAGTTGAAATCATGAGTCAATTGAAACCGTGACCAGTGGAGTTCAACCAGGTCTGTTGTGAAATATCACTTCACTGAAGACAATGAGGTACGATCGCGCAATTTTTTGGATTAGTTGAAGTTTAAAAAATTAGCACCGTTGGATGCCAGCCAGCTCAGTGGTCTAGTTGGTTAGGCGCCTGGCGTGAGACTGATAGGTCCTGGGTTCGAATCTCGTAGTGGGGGTGGCGGGATCGTGGATGAGCACTGCTGGGAAGTCCCATACTAGGACAAAACGACCGTCCAGTGCTTCAAAGTTTCCCATGGTGGTCTAGCTTCAATTGACTCATGATCTCAACCAATGAAATTACTGAACTCTCCATAAAATCCCTTCTGATAAAAATACATTCATTTATTATTTTTTTACATTTCCATAGGAATTATTCATATTAATCGGTGGATTAGACAGAAAACAATATTTTCAACTATCTTATATTTTTCAACCAATTATCAAACTAAACAGTGATAGAGTAACCAATGATACAACCATAATTAATAGGGATCTATATTCAATGGATTCTTATCATAAACCATTTGGACATATTGAAATGAAAGATTTAATGGTCTTTTTTCATGCTGCTAATCTATCACAAATTCATGTACAACAATTAATTACATATTTAGATAATAAAAACAATGGTACCATTGATTTTGTTACATTTTTAGAATATCTTCCTTTATTTGTTGAATCACATCAACATATTATATATAGTCCATATTTAAATAATAAAAATATATTCAATATATAAAAATAGTTGTGTTTAAATGATGATGATGATGATGATGATGATGATGATGATGATGATGATGATGATGATGATGATGATGATGATGATGATGATGATGATGATGATGATGATGATGATGATGATGATGATGATGATGATGATGATGATGATGATGATGATGATGATGATGATGATGATGATGATGATGATGATGATGATGATGATGATGATGATGATGATGATGATGATGATGATGATGATGATGATGATGATGATGATGATGATGATGATGATGATGATGATGATGATGATGATGATGATGATGATGATGATGATGATGATGATGATGATGATGATGATGATGATGATGATGATGATGATGATGATGATGATGATGATGATGATGATGATGATGATGATGATGATGATGATGATGATGATGATGATGATGATGATGATGATGATGATGATGATGATGATGATGATGATGATGATGATGATGATGATGATGATGATGATGATGATGATGATGATGATGATGATGATGATGATGATGATGATGATGATGATGATGATGATGATGATGATGATGATGATGATGATGATGATGATGATGATGATGATGATGATGATGATGATGATGATGATGATGATGATGATGATGATGATGATGATGATGATGATGATGATGATGATGATGATGATGATGATGATGATGATGATGATGATGATGATGATGATGATGATGATGATGATGATGATGATGATGATGATGATGATGATGATGATGATGATGATGATGATGATGATGATGATGATGATGATGATGATGATGATGATGATGATGATGATGATGATGATGATGATGATGATGATGATGATGATGATGATGATGATGATGATGATGATGATGATGATGATGATGATGATGATGATGATGATGATGATGATGATGATGATGATGATGATGATGATGATGATGATGATGATGATGATGATGATGATGATGATGATGATGATGATGATGATGATGATGATGATGATGATGATGATGATGATGATGATGATGATGATGATGATGATGATGATGATGATGATGATGATGATGATGATGATGATGATGATGATGATGATGATGATGATGATGATGATGATGATGATGATGATGATGATGATGATGATGATGATGATGATGATGATGATGATGATGATGATGATGATGATGATGATGATGATGATGATGATGATGATGATGATGATGATGATGATGATGATGATGATGATGATGATGATGATGATGATGATGATGATGATGATGATGATGATGATGATGATGATGATGATGATGATGATGATGATGATGATGATGATGATGATGATGATGATGATGATGATGATGATGATGATGATGATGATGATGATGATGATGATGATGATGATGATGATGATGATGATGATGATGATGATGATGATGATGATGATGATGATGATGATGATGATGATGATGATGATGATGATGATGATGATGATGATGATGATGATGATGATGATGATGATGATGATGATGATGATGATGATGATGATGATGATGATGATGATGATGATGATGATGATGATGATGATGATGATGATGATGATGATGATGATGATGATGATGATGATGATGATGATGATGATGATGATGATGATGATGATGATGATGATGATGATGATGATGATGATGATGATGATGATGATGATGATGATGATGATGATGATGATGATGATGATGATGATGATGATGATGATGATGATGATGATGATGATGATGATGATGATGATGATGATGATGATGATGATGATGATGATGATGATGATGATGATGATGATGATGATGATGATGATGATGATGATGATGATGATGATGATGATGATGATGATGATGATGATGATGATGATGATGATGATGATGATGATGATGATGATGATGATGATGATGATGATGATGATGATGATGATGATGATGATGATGATGATGATGATGATGATGATGATGATGATGATGATGATGATGATGATGATGATGATGATGATGATGATGATGATGATGATGATGATGATGATGATGATGATGATGATGATGATGATGATGATGATGATGATGATGATGATGATGATGATGATGATGATGATGATGATGATGATGATGATGATGATGATGATGATGATGATGATGATGATGATGATGATGATGATGATGATGATGATGATGATGATGATGATGATGATGATGATGATGATGATGATGATGATGATGATGATGATGATGAGATGATGATGATGATGATGATGATGATGATGATGATGATGATGATGATGATGATGATGATGATGATGATGATGATGATGATGATGATGATGATGATGATGATGATGATGATGATGATGATGATGATGATGATGATGATGATGATGATGATGATGATGATGATGATGATGATGATGATGATGATGATGATGATGATGATGATGATGATGATGATGATGATGATGATGATGATGATGATGATGATGATGATGATGATGATGATGATGATGATGATGATGATGATGATGATGATGATGATGATGATGATGATGATGATGATGATGATGATGATGATGATGATGATGATGATGATGATGATGATGATGATGATGATGATGATGATGATGATGATGATGATGATGATGATGATGATGATGATGATGATGATGATGATGATGATGATGATGATGATGATGATGATGATGATGATGATGATGATGATGATGATGATGATGATGATGATGATGATGATGATGATGATGATGATGATGATGATGATGATGATGATGATGATGATGATGATGATGATGATGATGATGATGATGATGATGATGATGATGATGATGATGATGATGATGATGATGATGATGATGATGATGATGATGATGATGATGATGATGATGATGATGATGATGATGATGATGATGATGATGATGATGATGATGATGATGATGATGATGATGATGATGATGATGATGATGATGATGATGATGATGATGATGATGATGATGATGATGATGATGATGATGATGATGATGATGATGATGATGATGATGATGATGATGATGATGATGATGATGATGATGATGATGATGATGATGATGATGATGATGATGATGATGATGATGATGATGATGATGATGATGATGATGATGATGATGATGATGATGATGATGATGATGATGATGATGATGATGATGATGATGATGATGATGATGATGATGATGATGATGATGATGATGATGATGATGATGATGATGATGATGATGATGATGATGATGATGATGATGATGATGATGATGATGATGATGATGATGATGATGATGATGATGATGATGATGATGATGATGATGATGATGATGATGATGATGATGATGATGATGATGATGATGATGATGATGATGATGATGATGATGATGATGATGATGATGATGATGATGATGATGATGATGATGATGATGATGATGATGATGATGATGATGATGATGATGATGATGATGATGATGATGATGATGATGATGATGATGATGATGATGATGATGATGATGATGATGATGATGATGATGATGATGATGATGATGATGATGATGATGATGATGATGATGATGATGATGATGATGATGATGATGATGATGATGATGATGATGATGATGATGATGATGATGATGATGATGATGATGATGATGATGATGATGATGATGATGATGATGATGATGATGATGATGATGATGATGATGATGATGATGATGATGATGATGAGATGATGATGATGATGATGATGATGATGATGATGATGATGATGATGATGATGATGATGATGATGATGATGATGATGATGATGATGATGATGATGATGATGATGATGATGATGATGATGATGATGATGATGATGATGATGATGATGATGATGATGATGATGATGATGATGATGATGATGATGATGATGATGATGATGATGATGATGATGATGATGATGATGATGATGATGATGATGATGATGATGATGATGATGATGATGAGGATGATGATGATGATGATGATGATGATGATGATGATGATGATGATGATGATGATGATGATGATGATGATGATGATGATGATGATGATGATGATGATGATGATGATGATGATGATGATGATGATGATGATGATGATGATGATGATGATGATGATGATGATGATGATGATGATGATGATGATGATGATGATGATGATGATGATGATGATGATGATGATGATGATGATGATGATGATGATGATGATGATGATGATGATGATGATGATGATGATGATGATGATGATGATGATGATGATGATGATGATGATGATGATGATGATGATGATGATGATGATGATGATGATGATGATGATGATGATGATGATGATGATGATGATGATGATGATGATGATGATGATGATGATGATGATGATGATGATGATGATGATGATGATGATGATGATGATGATGATGATGATGATGATGATGATGATGATGATGATGATGATGATGATGATGATGATGATGATGATGATGATGATGATGATGATGATGATGATGATGATGATGATGATGATGATGATGATGATGATGATGATGATGATGATGATGATGATGATGATGATGATGATGATGATGATGATGATGATGATGATGATGATGATGATGATGATGATGATGATGATGATGATGATGATGATGATGATGATGATGAGATGATGATGATGATGATGATGATGATGATGATGATGATGATGATGATGATGATGATGATGATGATGATGATGATGATGATGATGATGATGATGATGATGATGATGATGATGATGATGATGATGATGATGATGATGATGCTGATGATGATGATGATGATGATGATGATGATGATGATGATGATGATGATGATGATGATG